CCCCCCCCCTACTCCCGTCTCCGCTGTAGTGCTGCACAGAAAAAACGCATAAAAACACATATTGTCACGAGGTTGTCTGTTGTGTATGTTGTGTCCGCAGCAACTTTAGGGGAACATTCCTCATCCAAGTGTGACCCCGCAAACTCAAATTCAGCTTCCCTTACCCACGAGTAACATGTGCGGCTCCGGTGAAAGTTTTGTTGGGTAAATTATTATCTCGGGAACCACGGGATCTAGGAAGCCAAAATTTTAGGTAATGCCCCTGGCGCATTTGCGGCCAGAAAGTCTAAATTCAGCCTTCTCGTGCCCATGGGTAACATATACGGCCTCGTGAAACTTTCGGTGGGTAAATTATTATCTCGGGAACTACGGAATGTAGGAAGATGAAATTTCATGGATATTTTCCCCGCCCACATATGACCTCTTAAGTTTAAATCCAGACTTCTCGTGCCTACCGGTACCGCCCGTGCGACCCTGAGAAACTTTTGGTAGGAAAATTGTTATCTCGTGAACTGCAGAAGTTAGAAAGCTGAATTTTTAGCGTGGCATTCCTGCCCACATACGACTCCGATTTTCAACATTCGCGTGGAAGTTTTGACGGGGAAAACCATTTTCTCGGGAGCTAGCAGAGTTAAGAGGATGGAAATTACAGGACGATGTTTCCTGCCTAAGCAGAGGCTTTAAAAACTCGAATTCAATTCCTAAGTATGTTGAACACGCGAAAATACTGTCGCAAAATCACTCGAAAGCCAAAAAATTAGGAGGCTGAAATTGTGGAAGGATATTCACCCTTCGAGGTTTCAAATTCAACCTTTATGTGCCGAGTCGTGAACCTTTTCTTTCGAGGGAGGGGGAGGGGATTCGTAACTTAGAGACCAGACAAAATTCCAACTATTTTTGCATACACCAAAGTGCAAAGCAGTGAAAATCATTAGCAAGCAATCGTTCGGTGCACGGAATTGCATAAAACGCATGATCGCACCGGCGGCTGGGAACGATTTTGATGACAAACTGAAATAAGCAAACCATCTTCCTGAAGCGCGTATGTGCAGTTGGCGTCATCATTGAGCTTGGGCTGTCAACGCTCTGTCTCTTCTGCAATCAACATGCCTTACCTCCGCATATTTCATATACTTATTAAACCAACATCTAATCCTCTAAACCTGCTGACCAATCACATACGCAGCTATAGAAATTGTATAGGGATAAGCATGGGACTATTAGTTCTTGGTAACTTCATTTTAAATCTTGAAGAAAACCTGCCAAGCACTGGACCTCCCCACCCACACCTCCTTCACTGGCAAGGACTGAGTAAAGCACTGTGGGCATGACTATGCGTTTTTGCGCAGTTCCGTGTGACAGTAAAATCATTGGCAACGCGCACCGGGCTCGCCTGCGTGATCATGCGTTTTTGCAATATTTCGCGCTATAATGGGATCGCTCGGAAACCCAGTAGCTAGAAATGTGTGATATACTGGTCCTCGAAGCCTGGGAACTTAATTTTCTATGCAGGGAACACTTCATTGAAATTTCAGCTTTCCAAATTTTCTTCTTGAATTAGCAATTTTCCTGTCAAAAATATTCACGAGGCCGTACGTGACAACCACGCATGCCTCAGGGGGAGGGGAGGCTGAGTTTGATAAATTTAAACCGTACATGGGCTGGGAACATTTTCTGAAAATTTCAGTCTCCGGGCTTTTCTGGTTCCCGAGTTATCCATTTTCGCGCCAAAAAAATTCACGGGGTCGCACGTGATAACCACGGTTGCCTGGGAGCTGACTTTGTTAAATTTAAGTTGTACATGTGCTGTGAACATTCCCCGAAAATTTCGGCCCCCCAGCTTTCCTGGTTCCTGAGTTAGTCATTTCTGCGCCAAAAAAATTCACGGGGCCGTGCGTGATAATCACGGTTGCCTGGGGGTGATTTTGTTAAATTTAAGTTGCACATGTGCCGGGAACATTCCCTGAAAATTTCAGCTCCCCAGCCTTCCTGATTCCGAAGTTAGAGATTTTCGCGCCAGGAACACTTGCGGAGCCATACACGGGAACCACGCAGGCCTGGGGGCTGAATTTGAAACTTTTGAGTTCCATGGAGACGGAGGACATAACCTCAAAATTTCAGCTTTCTAGCTTTTCTGGTTCCCGAGTTAGCGATTTTCCCGCCAAAACTTTCACCTCTTTCGCACGCGGGGCCCAGACTTGCTTGAGGATTGATACCGCGGTCCTAGGGTGGCACTTAGCCGGGGAACCCACCAGCAAAATTTTGGCGCCGGAGCTTGCTTGGGTGCCGAGTTGAAATGCCCGGACAGACGCACAGACGCACACATGCACACACAAACACACGCACACACACACACACACACACACACACACACATACACACCCTGGGTCGTCGCAATATGCGTTCTTGCATTTGCATATATTCAAAAACGCTCAATCATCAGCAGTATGGACTGAAAATATAAAATTTCTGTTCCTTAGTCGCTTTGAGTCAAATATAAGTCGGACCAAGCACGAGGTGAGAGAAGTTGAGCGACTGCTGTGAATTCGAGTAGGAAAGATCCAGCCGCTTTTCAAAAATTTTTTCTCCGAATTTTCCAGCAGTGCTAATGTCCAAGGACAAACATGAACAAAATCAAGGTATTCTTGACACACATACAATTGCAAAAGCGTGTAGTAAAGACAAAAGATGTCCCTTTCTTATCAAAGACCGTTTTGACAGCCTGCTAGAAGGCTTTGGTGAAACGTGTAGCGATTCCGTGAGAAAAGACTTAGTCGGAAGCACAGTTTCCCCGCAGGTTTTTGTTGCTAATGACACTGTTTTTTTCCGGCAGATGTTTCTAGCTAAGAGAATTGAGAGCAGCCACCACGACTGTTAGAAAACCCAAAAAATCTAAATTCAGTTTTCCTGTGCGCTTGGGTATCGCGCAAAGCCCCGTGAAGGTTTTGGCGAAAAATTATCTCAGAGACCATGAAAGCTAGGATGTCGAAATTTCAGGACGATATTTTCTGCCGCTGCGGGTACCTCTCAAACTCGAATTTAGCTCCCAAGTATGCAGAGGTCCTACGTAAGACCACGTGAGAATTTTGATGTGAAAGTCACTGGTTCGGGAGCCGGAAAACTAGAAGGTTGAAATTTGAAAGGATGTTTCCCATTCATATTTTCAAATTCAGCTTTCACGTATCGGCACGTGGAATTTCCAGTGGGGAACTCCTCACCTTAGGAGCCAGACAGCTTATCCATTGTTTTTTGCATATACGAAAGTGTAAAAT